GATTTTATGCATATTAGAATATCATATTAAACGTATTGATGACATTCTAAATGCTAATCAATAAAAGTTTTTATATGCAGATTATTTTAATTTATTCTATCAGGCAGTTTCTAAAATGGATTACAAAAAATGTATTTTTCGACTGATACTTTTTCTTTAAATATTTTAAATACTCAAAAGGGTGTAATTTGAACAACAACTTTCTAATAATAATGTTCCTCAGTAATACTTAAATATAAATAGAAAACACACATCAAAACGACTAAAGCTTTGTAGATTTAGGGGACTGCATCGTGTAATTATGTCTTGGCAGATTCGACCAACAAATTGCCAAGGTAACCAGTCAGGACACGAAGTCAGCCATCGCAAACGTCACGTTCTGTTGCCAGCAATTATGTGGCTCTCACAATCACACGGACACAAAGAGATCACCGCGACCCGGTCAAAATACACTGGGCGAAATATGCTAATTATGACGGGAGCCTTCGACGCCGGCCATTAGAAAGCCACCCAGGTGATGTGACGCAACCGTTGTGTGGCCGAGCATCGATTATGGCCAAGTTAACTTCAGCGCACAAGATTGGTTTACCTAGACGCCGCCAAACACTCCAAACACATCAGGAAATTTGATGAAGGGTTGGTCTTGTTTATGCAAGCCAAATGATAATTTTAAAAATATAATGAGAGTTTTGAAAGAGTCACATTAAAAGAAAATGGATACAAAAATGTACTAACTCTAAAATTACACATTATAATGCAGATTATTGGGAAGTGATAAAATGTGGTTTTTCAAGTTTCTCTCTATAAAAGTTTACCGTTTCAAGACCTATCAGAAATAAATTGCTTACGTGAAAATGAAACCAGCTAAAACAAGCTAAAAATTTAACCAGCTAGAAAATTAACTTTTTATCTTAATACATGTTATACGTGAATTTACAGGAAAACATTCAGAAATATGTCACCTTAAAATCGAAATGGCTATAGAAATTAACCTCTTTAAGAGCCGCCAAAAACCTTGAAAAAAAAACTAAAAAAAGGGGTAAAAGGCTTGTACATGCACTAAAATGTTTTTCAAGTGCAGTTTTGGGTCACCTCTCCAGAAGCCAGCGGAATTCAAAAAGTTATATTCAATTAAAAATACGATTTTTTCCGAACATTTTCTTGGACAACAAATTGATTTAGATTTTCCGCCACTTCTTGTTTGGCTTGGTGACATTTCCATAGATCCAGCATAGCATTCCAATATGATTATTGCCGACCTCGAGGTCAGGTGGCGTCACGCTTAACGTGATGTACTGCCGCAATTGGTGTAATTACAGAATGAGGAAGTGCAGTGGTCGATGGGCAGCCAGCCGTATGGTAATTATGCTGCCAATCATAACGCCGTGTGAGGTGATTGGGGGGTGGGGGGGGATTACCCGACCCCAAATGTATTTTCGTACACATTTTCAGAGTAATTTATGTTTAGTCGCTGCTAAAATTTATTGTTTTTATTTAACAACTGCAGCGTTGACGTCGGCGGCAATTAATCGCTGCGTGATTAATCATTTTCTATGCAAATTATATATGTACAAGCGTCCCTTTCCAAACACGCGAACTTCTCCAACTTCAACTTAGACTTGGCTTTGACTTCCACTTCTACTTCGACTTGACCGCTCCGATCTGATGAATCTGATGAATCTGATGCCCAGAAATCTTTAATTACAACATCAGCTAAGAGCCGATGTCGTCGAAATATACGAGTACAGGTCTGGCCAGCTGAGATCGTGGCCATATATTAGCTATGGCGTTTGCGGCGCTATTGCCGCGCACAAATCATTCATAATCATATCTCACTAATCATATATGCGAGAGAAGTTCAACTGAGTCAGAAAATAAAAACCCAAGACATATTGAATGCTGGCGCGCAATTTGAATGAAAATTGTAAGTGGCACTGTAAATGAATAGGGGTTTATCTGTGAGAGTGACGCATTAATTAATAGAATCAATGAATAATGGGAAACTTGTAACAAATGAAATCTGAGAAGTGGTTCAGATAACCTAAATTCCTCTTACAACGAATGAATGTTTTTATTCTTTTTGTTTTTAATGCAGAAATCGATTGTGTAAGTTTGGCCACTCTTTTTAGAAGTTAAAGTCAATGATCGCATCGGATGAGACGAACTTCTTAAAGCAACTCAGTGATGTTATGTAGCCAATAAAACAAAACAGCCAGCCGCAGCGCAATTGGCCAATAAAAGAAGCTAAGTCTAGATTCGAAATTCAATGGTGCGAAGTGTTAAATACCCTCGTAGGTTTATGCGAAAAATGTTTTAAAACTAAAATGGAGAGACGTTTACGATCTAACAACATGGCACGTACGAAATTAAATGGAACAGATTTTTGTACCTTTATAGCTCACGTACTGAATACCCTTTTATTCAGGAAATTTTAATTCTTATGCGGCTTCATTATTTGCAGTCTGTTGTGTTTTTTATAATTTTTGTTTCTTTTTGTTAAGTAGAAGTGTTTTCTTTTCCTCATTAAAAACATTTTTTGGCTGAAATCAATATTTTCCCAATGAACATCGTTTCCGCATTTTTCATAAATATAAATACATATAAAATCACAGCAATTTAAAAGTTTAATAACATTTAATATTTTTAATAATTATCAGTAAATTGTATTTATAAGCTAAATTGTTAAATTCAACAATTTCACATTTTTTAATACAACTATTTTGTTTGAGTACTGAAAAATCGAAACTTTTGGTGATGATGTGCAATGACACTTATAGTTGATATACAAAAACTGGCAGATCATGAATATTAAGAATACCTAGCAGCTGATTAGGAGCTCATAAAATAAAACTAAAAATAGAATTGACCCAGACATAAATCCAGAATCAATAGACATCTCGATCCATTCTTTTTTGCTTTTTCAGGGGATGGCCATTGGACGTCACAACGGCCAGAGTCATAATCACACTGTTTTTTTTTCTTTTTATTGGCGTTTTCGGTTTTTTGCATATCGCATTTGTTGGTGTTTTTAGTGCGGAGCTTCAGCTGTCGAAGCATTGTTATTTTAATTAACGACGATTAGGTGTGAGGCACGTTTCTGTCGACGTTTCTTTAATTTCTGTATTTTTCTGCGTTCTTTACATTTTGCTGATTTATTTATTTTTATTTGTAGTATTCTTTTTTTTTTTGGGCTTACGACGGCTTGTTGCCGATGTCTGTGTTATGTTAACGGCTCTCCTAGCCGGGTTAGTTTTGTAAAACTTGGCGGAAAGTCAATAATTCCCCGACTCGGCTACTTATCGGCAATTGCCTTGAAGCGAGCATTTTTCCCACACTTGCCGGCGGTAACTGATTATACCACTTAAACGGTGGCCAGACCCAGACTTAGACCCCAGCCCAGCCCATACCTATACCTATACCCATACCCATGCCCATGCCCACCATCAACGCCCGGAGCGATGAGCCGTCGCCAAACAGGTTCAACAGAGATCGGTTCAAATCGGTTCGGTGGTGATATAGTGGTGATATAGTGGTGATATAGTGGTGATATAATGGTGATCTACCGATGCAGCGTGTGCGGTGCAATGCCAGAAGCTGGATGATCAGAGGGTGGCACTGGCCACTCATCGCCAGACAAGCTCCCGCATTTTGCACTGGGCAAAAAACTGCGTACATAAACATTTTTTAAAATAGACATAACTATACGCTTATACGCCTGTTACAATATTTGTTTGTTTATATCGTATACAGTACTGTAAAATTATAATATATCAGCGTTACCAGATTGGTAGATGTAACACCACTTAAATACAAATTAATAATTATTAAATTAATTAATAATTAATATTTCATATCATAAACCACTTGGTTATATCAACGACTTGATTATATAATCATTGGGTTATTTCTGATATTTAAGTTCGTAAAGTTTTTTAAAGTTTTGATACAAATTTATTATTTTGTATTATTTTGTGAAGTAAATTTTTAATTCATTTATTTAGTTTAAATTAATTCTTGGCATTTTGTTTAAAAATATGAGCTTGTTTAATAGTTTTCAATAAATACTTTCTTCTAATGCAGCGTAAATTATTTATTAAAAAATATTTCATTTGCAAAAAAGGCGTGCGTATAATCTTAGTAACAAACATATAACTAAAGACAATTTTCATGATCATAACAAATTTGTTGCTCCCACATTTCAGTTTTTTTCGACTAATAATAACTACGTGCACAGAGAAAACTGTGCAATGAAAGTCGACGTTTTTATTACAAAAACAGGGTAAAAACATTTTAGAAAGTAAATACTTTTAAGTACTTTTTAAAACTGTTGACTCTGTTTTAACATATAAAATTTAAAGTTGAGAGAAAACATTATCTGGAAAAAATGTTTGAATTAGAATGGGAATATATTTTTATTGACTTTATTTGCGCTTAAAATACATATTAATATTATTTATATATGTTAAACTTAACGATGGTTTTTGTTATTTTATAAACAAATCTATGGTATAATTATTTTTTGTACAGTATGCACTATCTTTTGGGAAATCTTAGTTATAGATTTAAGACTGAGAAGGTACGCTGCATATTTAATTTAAAATATTTTTGAGTGTATATTCTTAACACAATTTCGATACGTGAAAACAACCATTTCCAACTTTAACTTTAAAAATAATAAGCTTTACTTAAATTACTACTTAAGAATAAGCATATGTTCAGTTCTTTAGAAGTTCCATTGCTAATAATAGCTAATTTCTACCTAATCGGAAATACTAATCATACGATTAGTTCCCGGTGAATAAAATAATATTTTAAGAATGGGCACTTTTGATGTCCTCATCTTGTAGCTCCACTTGCCGCCGCTGCCACTAATTCCCGTGGCTAATTTCTTTCTAATGAGAACCAGTTATGTGAGATGAACCTCAGATGTGGGAAAAGCAGCGCGACGCGAGCTGAGCTGAGTGGATACCCACAAGCTAAGCCCATTCATAAACCCAAAGTGCGGCTCGACCCCAGCTCAGTATCGAGTTGGCCGTCGAGATGCCGAGATTGTCGAGCAAGTGCAGCGTCGGTGCCGCAGTGCTCCTATTGACCCTGGTCCGTCTGGGGGGTCTGACCGCTGCCACGCCCACCGTAACTGAAACGCCCATGGGCGGCTACTGCAAGGTGTCCCTTTGTGAGCTGTATAATGGGACGCATGTGGTTCATGTGCCGCATACAGCTTGTGGCAACAATGGCAGCTTTTCCGACGCCTGTGGCCCGGAACCCAAGCTTCTGGAAATGAGCGATCGCAGGCGCCAACTTCTCCTGGACATGCACAATTTGGCCAGATCGAAGATCGCCAGCGGAGATTTGGATGGCTACCACAGTGCCGCCAAAATGCCGCTGCTGCGGTGGGACACCGAGCTAGAGCAAATGGCCGCCCTGCACGTCAAACGCTGCCAATTTGCCCACGACAAGTGCCGCAATACGCCGCGCTTCAAGTTCAGCGGCCAAAATATCGGATACTTCTGGATCGGACGCGAATTCAAGTCGCACTCGCGTCGCATGAAGTCCTTTGTGATCAACTGGTTCCGCGAGTACCAGGACGCCAACCAGAGCTTCATCGATAGCTATCACCCGCATCCCCGAGGGTAAGCCCGTTAAATACTATAAACACCTTTCGTTATAGCCAGGTACCGCAAAAAATAGTTTTCTGAGACTTTTATTTAAAAAAGACCCTGTGATTTTAAGGTTTAAATGTCAAAAATATCACATTTTTTACTCTTATAAATACAAATTAGCCAAATTGATAAACAAAATACATAAGATGAGCAAAATAAAAAGAAAGGAAATTTAATAGCAAGCGTGAAATACAACATATTAAAAAATATTAATGATATTTTTTCTATAATTTTTTAATTATTATTATTATTATTATTATACTTACTAACAGTTTCAGATAAGGTTTTTCATGAAATGCATTGAATTTCGTTCAATTTTAATATTCATGGCCTTAAATCCTACAACGAAACTAAATAATATTTTAAACTGCCAATATCTTTAGAAATAATTATGTTTGAAAATTGAAAAGAGAGAGTTCATGCAACCACTATAATTCTAAATTTTTAAGTATATTTTATATATCCCGATATCCAGGTTTTTTAAATAGTCAAACAATCTAGAAAATTTTCAGAAGTTGTTGGAGTGCTCAAAAATAAATATGTTTGTTTTTATTTATTTATTTTTGTGTACGATCACTATCCTAGTTCTACAAGATATTTTTATATTTGAGGCACTAGTCGCAAAGCAATTTAATACTTAATAACATGTGTTTTTTAACCTGACAATATCGACTGACTGCTACTATTTTACCTATTTAATGCCCATATTTTTGATGGATTTGTTCTTAATACCTGTTTACCATTATTTCTGACCCGCAGCAAGAAGATCGGTCACTTCACCCTTTTGGTCTCGGATCGAGTGCAGCGAGTGGGTTGTGCTGCTGTCCGCTTCCTAGAGCCCAAGGCCAATCGATTCCAGTTCATGATGACGTGCAACTATGACTACAACAACATATTCAACGAGCCCGTCTACCATTCGGGTCCGGCGGGTTCCAAGTGCCCCCAACACCATGTCAGCGAAAAGTTTCCGGGACTGTGCGATTGGCGTGACGCCACCAATGACATTGAAAGCGAAGAGAGTGCCGAGGATGAAAACACCCTTGACAACAATATACCCCTTTAAAAGGTCCTGAGTCCCTACGATATAGAAAAAATACTCGAAGTTCAGGGCAGCACAAGATTGCTTGCAGCAACCCACCTGGAAAGTTACACACCATACTTTTTTTTTTATTATTTAAGCAATAATTTGTAATTTTATTTAATTTTAAAAATCATTTGAAAAGATTGCAATGTCATTCAATGCTTATTAGAATAGAAATGTACATTAATTAGGGTACCAAAAAGCTTATCACTAACAGGTTCGACTTTAAGTATTTAACCTGATTTAATTAAACGGACACGGTTGTTGATAGTGCCCCAGAAATCAGATCAAAGATATTGAACGGAGGCAGAGATGCTGTCGTAGTGGAAGACTCCTCGGGTGTTGGCTTAGCGGTCGTTGTTGGCTTAGATGGCTTCAGAGTGGTCGGTTTCTCCGAAGTTCCCTGAGTGGTCCTAAGAGTCGTTGGCCTTGCAGTTGTTGGTTTTGGAGTAGTGGGCTTGGGCGATGTTCCTTTAGTGGGCTTTGAAGTCGTCGGGCTTGGGTTTGGTTTCAATGTGGTCGGATTTGCCGATGTTCTCTCTGTGGACTTAAGAGTCGTCGGCTTTGAAGTTGTCGGCTTCACAGTTAATGGTTTTTGAGTTGTTGTTTCCTTAGGAGTCGTTGGCTTTGCTGTTGTCGGTCTTGTTGTGGCCGGCATTGCCGATGTTCCCTTAGTGGGCTTGAGAGTTGTTGGCCTTACAGTTGTTGGTTTAGGAGTATTCGGCCTTGTCGATGTTCCTTCTGTGGGCTTAAGACTTGTTGGCTTCACAGTTGTCGTTATCGTTGGTTTCGGAGTGGTCGGTTTCTCCGAAGTTCCCTCTGTGGGCTTAAGAGTTGTTGGGTTCAGAGTTGTCGGTTTCGTTGGTTTCAGAGTTGTCGGTTTCTCCGAAGTTCCCTCTGTGGGCTTAAGAGTTGTTGGGTTCAGAGTTGTCGGTTTCTCCGAAGTTCCATCTGTGGGCTTAAGAGTTGTTGGGTTCAGAGTTGTCGGTTTCTCCGAAGTTCCCTCTGTGGGCTTAAGAGTTGTTGGATTCAGAGTTGTCGGTTTCTCCGAAGTTCCCTCTGTGGGCTTAAGCGTTGTTGGGTTCACAGTTGTCGGCATCGTTGGTTTCGGAGTTGTCGGTTTGTCCGAGGTTCCCTCTGTGGGCTTAAAAGTTGTTGGATTAAGAGTTGTCGGTTTCACCGAAGTTGCCTCAGTGGGCTTAAGAGTTGTTGGCTTCACAGTTGTCGGATCCGTTGGTTTCTGAGTTGTCGGTTTCTCCGAAGTTCCCTCTGTGGGCTTAAGAGTTGTTGGATTCAGAGTTGTCGGTTTTTCCGAAGTTCCATCTGTGGGCTTAAGAGTTGTTGGATTCAGAGTTGTCGGTTTCTCCGAAGTTCTCTCTGTGGGCTTAAGAGTTGTTGGATTCAGAGTTGTCGGTTTCTCCGAAGTTCCCTCTGTTGGCTTAAGAGTTGTTGGAGTCAGAGTTGTCGGTTTCTCCGAAGTTCCCTCCGTGGGCTTAAGAGTTGTTGGCTTCACAGTTGTCGGTTTCTCCGAAGTTCCCTCTGTGGGCTTAAGAGTTGTTGGAATCAGAGTTGTCGGTTTTTCCGAAGTTCCCTCTGTGGGCTTAAGAGTTGTTGGATTCAGAGTTGTCGGTTTTTCCGAAGTTCCATCTGTGGGCTTAAGAGTTGTTGGATTCAGAGTTGTCGGTTTCTCCGAAGTTCTCTCTGTGGGCTTAAGAGTTGTTGGATTCAGAGTTGTCGGTTTCTCCGAAGTTCCCTCTGTTGGCTTAAGAGTTGTTGGAGTCAGAGTTGTCGGTTTCTCCGAAGTTCCCTCCGTGGGCTTAAGAGTTGTTGGCTTCACAGTTGTCGGTTTCTGCGAAGTTCCCTCTGTGGACTTAAGAGTTGTTGGATTCAGAGTTGACGGTTTCACCGAAGTTGCCTCTGTGGGCTTAAGAGTTGTTGGGTTCACAGTTGTCGGCATCGTTGGTTTCGGAGTGGTGGGTTTCTCCGAAGTTCCCTCTGTGGGTTTAAGAGTTGTTGGGTTCAGAGTTGACGGTTTCACCGAAGTTCCCTCTGTGGGCTTAAGAGTTGTTGGGTTCAGAGTTGACGGTTTCACCGAAGTTGCCTCTGTGGGCTTAGGAGTTGTTGGCTTCAGAGTTGTCGGCTCCGTTGGATTCAGAGTTGTCGGTTTCTCCGAAGTTCCATCTGTGGGCTTAAGAGTTGTTGGTTTCAGAGTTGACGGTTTCTCCGAAGTTCCCTCTGTGGGCTTAAGCGTTGTTGGGTTCACTGTTGTCGGCATCGTTGGTTTCGGAGTGGTCGGTTTCTCCGAAGTTCCCTCTGTGGGCTTAAGAGTTGTTGGGTTCAGAGTTGACGGTTTCACCGAAGTTGCTTCTGTGGGCTTAAGAGTTGTTGGAGTCAGAGTTGTCGGTTTCTCCGAAGTTCCCTCTGTGGGCTTAAGAGTTGTTGGCTTCACAGTTGTCGGTTTCTCTGAAGTTCCCTCTGTGGGCTTAAGAGTTGTTGGAGTAAGAGTTGTCGGTTTCTCCGAAGTTCCCTCTGTGGGCTTAAGAGTTGTTGGCTTCACAGTTGTCGGTTTCTCCGAAGTTCCCTCTGTGGGCTTAAGAGTTGTTGGATTCAGAGTTGTCGGTTTTTCCGAAGTTCTCTCTGTGGGCTTAAGAGTTGTTGGATTCAGAGTTGTCGGTTTCTGCGAAGTTTCCTCTGTGGGCTTAAAAGTTGTTGGGTTCAGAGTTGACGGTTTCACCGAAGTTGCCTCTGTGGGCTTAAGAGTTGTTGGCTTCACAGTTGTCGGCATCGTTGGTTTCGGAGTGGTCGGTTTCTCCGAAGGTCCCTCTGTGGGCTTAAGAGTTGTTGGGTTCAGAGTTGTCGGCTTCGTTGGTTTCACAGTTGTCGGTTTCTCCGAAGTTCCCTCTGTGGGCTTAAGAGTTGTTGGGTTCATAGTTGACGGTTTCACCGAAGTTGCCTCTGTGGGCTTAAGAGTTGTTGGGTTCAGAGTTGTCGGCTTCGTTGGTTTCACAGTTGTCGGTTTCTCCGAAGTTCCCTCTGTGGGCTTAAGAGTTGTTGGCTTCACAGTTGTCGGCATCGTTGGTTTCGGAGTGGTCGGTTTCTCCGAAGTTCCATCTGTGGGTTTAAGAGTTGTTGGTTTCAGAGTTGACGGTTTCTCCGAAGTTCCCTCTGTGGGCTTAAGCGTTGTTGGGTTCACAGTTGGCGGCATCGTTGGTTTCTCCGAAGTTCCCTCTGTGGTCTTAAGAGTTGTTGGGTTCAGAGTTGACGGTTTCACGGAAGTTGCCTCTGTGGGCTTAAGAGTTGTTGGCTTCACAGTTGTCGGCTCCGTTGGTTTCTGAGTTGTCGGTTTCTCCGAAGTTCCCTCTGTGGGCTTAAGAGATGTTGGGTTCAGAGTTGTCGGTTTCTCCGAAGTTCCCTCTGTGGGCTTAAGAGTTGTTGGATTCAGAGTTGTCGGTTTCTGCGAAGTTCCCTCTGTGGGCTTAAGAGTTGTTGGGTTCAGAGTTGACGGTTTCACCGACGTTCCCTCTGTGGGCTTAAGAGTTGTTGGATTCAGAGTTGTCGGTTTCTCCGAAGTTCCCTCTGTGGGCTTAAGAGATGTTGGGTTCAGAGTTGACGGTTTCACCGAAGTTGCCTCTGTGGGCTTAAGAGTTGTTGGTTTCAGAGTTGTTGGTTTCAGAGTTGACGGTTTCTCCGAAGTTCCCTCTGTGGGCTTAAGCGTTGTTGGGTTCACAGTTGTCGGCATCGTTGGTTTCTCCGAAGTTCCCTCTGTGGGCTTAAGAGTTGTTGGGTTCAGAGTTGACGGTTTCACCGAAGTTGCCTCTGTGGGCTTAAGAGTTGTTGGCTTCACAGTTGTCGGCTCCGTTGGTTTCTGAGTTGTCGGTTTCTCTGAAGTTCCCTCTGTGGGCTTAAGAGTTGTTGGATTTAGAGTTGTCGGTTTTTCCGAAGTTCCATCTGTGGGCTTAAGAGTTGTTGGATTCAGAGTTGTCGGTTTCTCCGAAGTTCCCTCTGTGGGCTTAAGAGTTGTTGGATTCAGAGTTGTCGGTTTTTCCGAAGTTCCCTCTGTGGGCTTAAGAGTTGTTGGATTCAGAGTTGTCGGTTTCACAGAAGTTCCCTCTGTGGGCTTAAGAGTTGTTGGATTCAGAGTTGTCGGTTTTTCCGAAGTTCCATCTGTGGGCTTAAGAGTTGTTGGATTCAGAGTTGTCGGTTTCTCCGAAGTTCCCTCTGTTGGCTTAAGAGTTGTTGGCTTCACAGTTGTCGGTTTCTCCGAAGTTCCCTCTGTGGGCTTAAGAGTTGTTGGATTCAGAGATGTCGGTTTTTCCGAAGTTCCCTCTGTGGGATTAAGAGTTGTTGGACTCAGAGTTGTCGGTTTCTGCGAAGTTCCCTCTGTGGGCTTAAGAGTTGTTGGGTTCAGAGTTGACGGTTTCACGGAAGTTGCCTCTGTGGGCTTAAGAGTTGTTGGCTTCACAGTTGTCGGCTCCGTTGGTTTCTGAGTTGTCGGTTTCTCCGAAGTTCCCTCTGTGGGCTTAAGAGATGTTGGGTTCAGAGTTGTCGGTTTCTCCGAAGTTCCCTCTGTGGGCTTAAGAGTTGTTGGATTCAGAGTTGTCGGTTTCTGCGAAGTTCCCTCTGTGGGCTTAAGAGTTGTTGGGTTCAGAGTTGACGGTTTTACCGACGTTCCCTCTGTGGGCTTAAGAGTTGTTGGTTTCAGAGTTGACGGTTTCTCCGAAGTTCCCTCTGTGGGCTTAAGCGTTGTTGGGTTCACAGTTGTCGGCATCGTTGGTTTCTCCGAAGTTCCCTCTGTGGGCTTAAGAGTTGTTGGGTTCAGAGTTGACGGTTTCACCGAAGTTGCCTCTGTGGGCTTAAGAGTTGTTGGCTTCACAGTTGTCGGCTCCGTTGGTTTCTGAGTTGTCGGTTTCTCTGAAGTTCCCTCTGTGGGCTTAAGAGTTGTTGGATTTAGAGTTGTCGGTTTTTCCGAAGTTCCATCTGTGGGCTTAAGAGTTGTTGGATTCAGAGTTGTCGGTTTCTCCGAAGTTCCCTCTGTGGGCTTAAGAGTTGTTGGATTCAGAGTTGTCGGTTTTTCCGAAGTTCCCTCTGTGGGCTTAAGAGTTGTTGGATTCAGAGTTGTCGGTTTCACAGAAGTTCCCTCTGTGGGCTTAAGAGTTGTTGGGTTCAGAGTTGACGGTTTCACCGACGTTCCCTCTGTGGGCTTAAGAGTTGTTGGATTCAGAGTTGTCGGTTTCTCCGAAGTTCCCTCTGTTGGCTTAAGAGTTGTTGGCTTCACAGATGTCGGTTTCTCCGAAGTTCCCTCTGTGGGCTTAAGAGTTGTTGGATTCAGAGTTGTCGGTTTTTCCGAAGTTCCCTCTGTGGGCTTAAGAGTTGTTGGACTCAGAGTTGTCGGTTTCTGCGAAGTTCCCTCTGTGGGCTTAAGAGTTGTTGGGTTCAGAGTTGACGGTTTCACCGAAGTTGCCTCTGTGGGCTTAAGAGTTGTTGGTTTCACAGTTGTCGGCTCCGTTGGATTCAGAGTTGTTGGTTTCTCCGAAGTTCCATCTGTGGGCTTAAGAGTTGTTGGGTTCAGAGTTGTCGGTTTCTGCGAAGTTCCCTCTGTGGGCTTAAGAGTTGTTGGGTTCAGAGTTGACGGTTTCACAGAAGTTCCCTCTGTGGGCTTAAGAGTTGTTGGATTCAGAGTTGTCGGTTTCTCCGAAGTTCCCTCTGTGGGCTTTAAAGTTGTTGGACTCAGAGTTGTCGGTTTCTCCGAAGTTCCATCTGTGGGCTTAAGAGTTGTTGGATTCAGAGTTGTCGGTTTCTCCGAAGTTCCGTCTGTGGGCTTTAAAGTTGTTGGATTCAGAGTTGTCGGTTTCTCCGAAGTTCCATCTGTGGGCTTAAGAGTTGTTGGCTTCAGAGTTGAAGGTTTCACAGAAGTTCCCTCTGTGGGCTTAAGAGTTGTTGGATTCAGAGTTGTCGGTTTCTCCGAAGTTCCGTCTGTGGGCTTTAAAGTTGTTGGATTCAGAGTTGTCGGTTTCTCCGAAGTTCCATCTGTGGGCTTAAGAGTTGTTGGATTCAGAGTTGTCGGTCTCTCCGAAGTTCCTTCTGTCGGCTTAAGAGTTGTTGGGTTCAGAGTTGACGGTTTCACAGAAGTTCCCTCTGTGGGTTTAAGAGTTGTTGGATTCTGAGTTGTCGGTTTCTCCGAAGTTCCATCTGTGGGCTTAAGAGTTGTTGGATTCAGAGTTGTCGGTTGTTCCGAAGTTCCATCTGTGGGCTTAAGAGTTGTTGGGTTCACAGTTGTCGGTTTTTCCGAAGTTCCTTCTGTGGGCTTAAGAGTTGTTGGATTCAGAGTTGTCGGTTTCTCCGAAGTTCCCTCTGTGGGCTTAAGAGTTGATGTGTTCACAGTTGTCGGAATCGTTGGTTTTGGTGTTGTCGGTTTCTCCGAAGTTACATCTGTGGGCTTAAGAGTTGTTGGGTTTACAGTTGTCGGCATCGTTGGTTTCGGAGTTGTCGGTTTCTCCGAAGTTGCATCTGTGGGCTTAAGAGTTGTTGGGTTCACAGTTGTCGGTTTCTCCGAAGTTCCCTCTGTGGGCTTAGGAGTTGTTGGATTCAGAGTTGTCGGTTTTTCCGAAGTTCCGTCTGTGGGCTTTAGAGTTGTTGGATTCAGAGTTGACGGTTTCACAGAAGTTCCCTCTGTGGACTTAAGAGTTGTTGGATTCTGAGTTGTCGGTTTCTCCGAAGTTCCCTCTGTGGGCTTAAGAGTTGTTGGATTCAGAGTTGTCGGTTTCTCCGAAGTTCCATCTGTGGGCTTAAGAGTTGTTGGGTTGAGAGTTGTTCCCTCTGTGGGCTTAAGAGTTGTCGGCACAGTTGGTTTCGGAGTTGTCGGTTTCTCCGAAGTTCCATCTGTGGGCTTAAGAGTTGTTGGGTTGAGAGTTGTTCCCTCTGTCGGCTTAAGAGTTGTCGGCACCGTTGGTTTCGGAGTTGTCGGTTTCTCCGAAGTTCCATCTGTGGGCTTAAGAGTTGTTGGCTTGAGAGTTGACGGTTTCACAGAAGTTCCTTCTGTGGGCTTAAGAGTTGTTGGATTCAGAGTTGTCGGTTTCTCCGAAGTTCCCTCTGTGGGCTTAAGAGTTGTTGGGTTCACAGTTGTCGGCTTCGTTGGTTTCAGAGTTGTCGGCTTCGTTGGTTTCAGAGTTGTCGGATTCTCCGAAGTTCCATCTGTGGGCTTAAGAGTTGTTGGTTTCAGAGTTGTCGGTTTCTCCGAAGTTTCCTCTGTGGGCTTAAGAGTTGTTGGGTTCAGAGTGGTCGGTTTCTCCGAAGTTCCTTCTGTGGGCTTAAGAGTTGTTGGATTCTGAGTTGTCGGTTTCTCCGAAGTTCCCTCTGTGGGCTTAAGAGTTGATGTGTTCACAGTTGTCGGAATCGTTGGTTTTGGTGTTGTCGGTTTCTCCGAAGTTACATCTGTGGGCTTAAGAGTTGTTGGGTTTACAGTTGTCGGCATCGTTGGTTTCGGAGTTGTCGGTTTCTCCGAAGTTGCATCTGTGGGCTTAAGAGTTGTTGGGTTCACAGTTGTCGGTTTCTCCGAAGTTCCCTCTGTGGGCTTAGGAGTTGTTGGATTCAGAGTTGTCGGTTTTTCCGAAGTTCCGTCTGTGGGCTTTAGAGTTGTTGGATTCAGAGTTGACGGTTTCACAGAAGTTCCCTCTGTGGACTTAAGAGTTGTTGGATTCTGAGTTGTCGGTTTCTCCGAAGTTCCCTCTGTGGGCTTAAGAGTTGTTGGATTCAGAGTTGTCGGTTTCTCCGAAGTTCCATCTGTGGGCTTAAGAGTTGTTGGGTTGAGAGTTGTTCCCTCTGTGGGCTTAAGAGTTGTCGGCACAGTTGGTTTCGGAGTTGTCGGTTTCTCCGAAGTTCCATCTGTGGGCTTAAGAGTTGTTGGGTTGAGAGTTGTTCCCTCTGTCGGCTTAAGAGTTGTCGGCACCGTTGGTTTCGGAGTTGTCGGTTTCTCCGAAGTTCCATCTGTGGGCTTAAGAGTTGTTGGCTTGAGAGTTGACGGTTTCACAGAAGTTCCTTCTGTGGGCTTAAGAGTTGTTGGATTCAGAGTTGTCGGTTTCTCCGAAGTTCCCTCTGTGGGCTTAAGAGTTGTTGGGTTCACAGTTGTCGGCTTCGTTGGTTTCAGAGTTGTCGGCTTCGTTGGTTTCAGAGTTGTCGGATTCTCCGAAGTTCCATCTGTGGGCTTAAGAGTTGTTGGTTTCAGAGTTGTCGGTTTCTCCGAAGTTTCCTCTGTGGGCTTAAGAGTTGTTGGGTTCAGAGTGGTCGGTTTCTCCGAAGTTCCTTCTGTGGGCTTAAGAGTTGTTGGCTTCACAGTTGTCGGTTTTTCAGAAGTTCCCTCTGTGGGCTTAAGAGTTGTTGGACTCAGAGTTGTCGGTTTTTCCGAAGTTCCATCTGTGGGCTTAAGAGTGTTTGGCTTCAGAGTGGTCGGTTTCTCCGAAGTTCTCTCTGTGGGCTTAAGAGTTGTTGGGTTCACAGTTGTCGGTTTCTCCGAAGTTCCATCTGTGGGCTTAAGAGTTGTTGGTTTCAGAGTTATCGGTTTCTCCGAAGTTTTCTCTGTGGGCTTAAGAGTTGTTGGGTTCAGAGTGGTCGGTTTCTCCGAAGTTCCTTCTGTGGGCTTAAGAGTTGTTGGCTTCACAGTTGTCGGCTTCGTTGGTTTCAGAGTTGTCGGTTTCTCCGAAGTTCCATCTGTGGGCTTAAGAGTTGTTGGGCTCAGAGTTGACGGTTTCACAGAAGTTCCCTCTGTGGGCTTAAGAGTTGTTGGCTTCACAGTTGTCGGCTTCGTTGGTTTCAGAGTTGTCGGATTCTCCGAAGTTCTCTCTGTGGGCTTAAGAGTTGTTGGATTCAGAGTTGACGGTTTCACCGAAGTTCCCTCTGTGGGCTTAAGAGTCGTTGGCTTCAGAGTTGTCGGTTTCTCCGAAGTTCCTTCTGTGGGCTTAAGAGTTGTTGGCTTCACAGTTGTCGGCTTCGTTGGTTTCAGAGTTGTCGGATTTTCCGAAGTTCCCTCTGTGGGCTTAAGAGTTGTTGGTTTCACAGTTGACGGTTTCACCGAAGTTCCCTCTGTGGGCTTAAGAGTTGTTGGGTTCAGAGTTGACGGTTTCACCGAAGTTCCTTCTGTGGGCTTAAGAGTTGTTGGCTTCACAGTTGTCGGCTTCGTTGGTTTCAGAGTTGTCGGTTTCTCCGAAGTTCCCTCTGTGGGCTTAAGAGTTGTTGGTTCCACAGTTGACGGTTTCACCGAAGTTCCCTCTGTGGGCTTAAGAGTTGTTGGGTTCACAGTTGTCGGCTTCGTTGGTTTCAGAGTTGTCGGCTTCGTTGGTTTCAGAGTTGTCGGATTCTCCGAAGTTCCATCTGTGGGCTTAAGAGTTGTTGGTTTCAGAGTTGTCGGTTTCTCCGAAGTTTCCTCTGTGGGCTTAAGAGTTGTTGGGTTCAGAGTGGTCGGTTTCTCCGAAGTTCCTTCTGTGGGCTTAAGAGTTGTTGGCTTCACAGTTGTCGGTTTTTCAGAAGTTCCCTCTGTGGGCTTAAGAGTTGTTGGACTCAGAGTTGTCGGTTTTTCCGAAGTTCCATCTGTGGGCTTAAGAGTGTTTGGCTTCAGAGTGGTCGGTTTCTCCGAAGTTCTCTCTGTGGGCTTAAGAGTTGTTGGGTTCACAGTTGTCGGTTTCTCCGAAGTTCCATCTGTGGGCTTAAGAGTTGTTGGTTTCAGAGTTATCGGTTTCTCCGAAGTTTTCTCTGTGGGCTTAAGAGTTGTTGGGTTCAGAGTGGTCGGTTTCTCCGAAGTTCCTTCTGTGGGCTTAAGAGTTGTTGGCTTCACAGTTGTCGGCTTCGTTGGTTTCAGAGTTGTCGGTTTCTCCGAAGTTCCATCTGTGGGCTTAAGAGTTGTTGGGCTCAGAGTTGACGGTTTCACAGAAGTTCCCTCTGTGGGCTTAAGAGTTGTTGGCTTCACAGTTGTCGGCTTCGTTGGTTTCAGAGTTGTCGGATTCTCCGAAGTTCCCTCTGTGGGCTTAAGAGTTGTTGGATTCAGAGTTGACGGTTTCACCGAAGTTCCCTCTGTGGGCTTAAGAGTCGTTGGCTTCAGAGTTGTCGGTTTCTCCGAAGTTCCTTCTGTGGGCTTAAGAGTTGTTGGCTTCACAGTTGTCGGATTCGTTGGTTTCAGAGTTGTCGGATTTTCCGAAGTTCCCTCTGTGGGCTTAAGAGTTGTTGGTTTCACAGTTGACGGTTTCACCGAAGTTCCCTCTGTGGGCTTAAGAGTTGTTGGGTTCAGAGTTGACGGTTTCACCGAAGTTCCTTCTGTGGGCTTAAGAGTTGTTGGCTTCACAGTTGTCGGCTTCGTTGGTTTCAGAGTTGTCGGTTTCTCCGAAGTTCCCTCTGTGGGCTTAAGAGTTGTTGGTTCCACAGTTGACGGTTTCACCGAAGTTCTCTCTGTGGGCTTAAGAGTTGTTGGCTTCACAGTTGTCGGCTTCGTTGGTTTCAGAGTTGTCGGTTTCGCCGAAGTTCCATCTGTGGGCTTAAGAGTTGTTGGGTTCAGAGTGGTCGGTTTCACTGAAGTTCCCTCTGTGGGCTTAAGAGTTGTTGGATTCACAGTAGTCGGCTTCTCCGAAGTTCCCTCTGAGGGCTTAAGAGTTGTTGGATTCAGAGTTGTCGGTTTCTCCGAAGTTCCATCTGTGGGCTTAAGAGTTGTTGGGTTCAGAGTTGATGGTTTCACAGAAGTTCCCTCAGTGGGCTTAAGAGTTGTTGGATTCAGAGTTGACGGTTTCTCCGAAGTTCCATCTGTGGGCTGAAGAGTTGTTGGGTTCAGAGTTGTCGGTTTCTCCGAAGTACCCTCTGTGGGCTTAAGAGTTGTTGGGTTCACAGTTGTCGTTTTCTCCGAAGTTCCCTCTGTGGGCTTAAGAGTTGTTGGATTCAGAGTTGTCGGTTTTTCCGAAGTTCCATCTGTGGGCTTTAGAGTTGATGGGTTCAGAGTTGACGGTTTCACAGAAGTTCCCTCTGTGGGCTTAAGAGTTGTTGGATTTAGAGTTGTCGGTTTCTCCGAAGTTCTCTCTGTGGGCTTAAGAGTTGTTGGGTTCACAGTTGTCGGTTTCTCCGAAGTTCCATCTGTGGGCTTAAGAGTTGTTGGTTTCAGAGTTATCGGTTTCTCCGAAGTTTTCTCTGTGGGCTTAAGAGTTGTTGGGTTCAGAGTGGTCGGTTTCTCCGAAGTTCCTTCTGTGGGCTTAAGAGTTGTTGGCTTCACAGTTGTCGGCTTCGTTGGTTTCAGAGTTGTCGGTTTCTCCGAAGTTCCATCTGTGGGCTTAAGAGTTGTTGGGCTCAGAGTTGACGGTTTCACAGAAGTTCCCTCTGTGGGCTTAAGAGTTGTTGGCTTCACAGTTGTCGGCTTCGTTGGTTTCAGAGTTGTCGGATTCTCCGAAGTTCCCTCTGTGGGCTTAAGAGTTGTTGGATTCAGAGTTGACGGTTTCACCGAAGTTCCCTCTGTGGGCTTAAGAGTCGTTGGCTTCAGAGTTGTCGGTTTCTCCGAAGTTCCTTCTGTGGGCTTAAGAGTTGTTGGCTTCACAGTTGTCGGCTTCGTTGGTTTCAGAGTTGTCGGATTTTCCGAAGTTCCCTCTGTGGGCTTAAGAGTTGTTGGTTTCACAGTTGACGGTTTCACCGAAGTTCCCTCTGTGGGCTTAAGAGTTGTTGGGTTCAGAGTTGACGGTTTCACCGAAGTTCCTTCTGTGGGCTTAAGAGTTGTTGGCTTCACAGTTGTCGGCTTCGTTGGTTTCAGAGTTGTCGGTTTCTCCGAAGTTCCCTCTGTGGGCTTAAGAGTTGTTGGTTCCACAGTTGACGGTTTCACCGAAGTTCTCTCTGTGGGCTTAAGAGTTGTTGGCTTCACAGTTGTCGGCTTCGTTGGTTTCAGAGTTGTCGGTTTCGCCGAAGTTCCATCTGTGGGCTTAAGAGTTGTTGGGTTCAGAGTGGTCGGTTTCACTGAAGTTCCCTCTGTGGGCTTAAGAGTTGTTGGATTCACAGTAGTCGGCTTCTCCGAAGTTCCCTCTGAGGGCTTAAGAGTTGTTGGATTCAGAGTTGTCGGTTTCTCCGAAGTTCCATCTGTGGGCTTAAGAGTTGTTGGGTTCAGAGTTGATGGTTTCACAGAAGTTCCCTCAGTGGGCTTAAGAGTTGTTGGATTCAGAGTTGACGGTTTCTCCGAAGTTCCATCTGTGGGCTGAAGAGTTGTTGGGTTCAGAGTTGTCGGTTTCTCCGAAGTACCCTCTGTGGGCTTAAGAGTTGTTGGGTTCACAGTTGTCGTTTTCTCCGAAGTTCCCTCTGTGGGCTTAAGAGTTGTTGGATTCAGAGTTGTCGGTTTTTCCGAAGTTCCATCTGTGGGCTTTAGAGTTGATGGGTTCAGAGTTGACGGTTTCACAGAAGTTCCCTCTGTGGGCTTAAGAGTTGTTGGATTTAGAGTTGTCGGTTTCTCCGAAGTTCCATCTGTGGGCTTAAGAGTTGTTGGGTTCAGAGTTGACGGTTTCACAGAAGTTCCCGCAGTAGGTTTAAGAGTTGTTGGATTCAGTGTTGTCGGTTTCTCCGAAGTTCCCTCTGTGGGCTTGAGAGTTGTTGGATTCAGAGTTGTCGGTGTTTCCGAAGTTCCATCTGTGGGCTTAAGAGTTGTTGGGTTCACAGTTGTCGGCATCTCCGAAGTTCCCTCTGTGGGCTTAAGAGTTGTTGGGTTCAGAGTTGTCGGTTTCACAGAAGTTCCCTCTGTGGGCTTAAGAGTTGTTGGATTCAGAGTTGTCGGTTTTTCCGAAGTTCCATCTGTGGGCTTAAGAGTTGTTGGGTTCACAGTTGTCGGCTTCTCCGAAGTTCCATCTGTGGGCTTAAGAGTTGTTGGATTCAGAGTTGTCGGTTTCTTCGAAGTTCCCTCGGTGGGCTTCAGAGTTGTTGGGTTCAGAGTTGACGGTTTCACAGAAGTTCCCTCTGTGGGCTTAAGAGTTGTTGGATTCAGAGTTGTCGGTTTCACAGAAGTTCCCTCTGTGGGCTTAAGAGTTGTTGGATTCAGAGTTGTCGGTTTCTCAGAAGTTCCCTCTGTGGGCTTAAGAGTTGATGGGTTCAGAGTTGACGGTTTCACAGAAGTTCCCTCTGTGGGCTTAAGAGTTGTTGGGCTCAGAGTTGACGGTTTCACCGAAGTTCCCTCTGTGGGCTTAAGAGTTGTTGGGTTAAGAGTTGTTGGTTTCACAGAAGTTCCCTCTGTGGGCTTAAGAGTTGTTGGATTCAGAGTTGTCGGTTTTTCCGAAGTTCCATCTGTGGGCTTAAGAGTTGTTGGGTTCACAGTTGTCGGTTTCTCCGAAGTTCCCTCTGTGGGCTTAAGAGTTGTTGGATTCAGAGTTGTCGGTTTCACAGAAGGTCCCTCTGTGGGCTTAAGAGTTGTTGGGTTCAGAGTTGACGGTTTCACAGAAGTTCCCTCTGTGGGCTTAAGAGTTGTTGGATTCAGAGTTGTCGGTTTTTCCGAAGTTACATCTGTGGGCTTAAGAGTTGTTGGGTTCACAGTTGTCGGTTTCTCCGAAGTTCCCTCTGTGGGCTTAAGAGTTGTTGGATTCAGAGTAGTCGGTTTCTCCGAAGATCCCTCAGTGGGCTTAAGAGTTGTTGGGTTTACAGTAGTCGTTTTCTCCGAAGTTCCCTCTGTGGGCTTAAGAGTTGTTGGATTCAGAGTTGTCGGTTTTTCCGAAGTTCCATCTGTGGGTTTGCGAGTTGTTGGGTTCACAGTTGTCGGTCTCTCCGAAGTTCCCTCTGTGGGCTTAAGAGTTGTTGGATTCAGAGTTGTCGGTTTTGCCGAAGTTCCATCTGTGGGCTTAAGAGTTGTTGGGCTCACAGTTGTCGGTTTCTCCGAAGTTCCATCTGTGGGCTTAAGAGTTGTTGGGTTCAGAGTTGACGGTTTCACAGAAGTTCCATCTGTGGGCTTAAGAGTTGTTGGGTTCAGAGTTGACGGTTTCACAGAAGTTCCCTCTGTGGGCTTAAGAGTTGTTGGGTTCACAGTTGTTGGTTTCTCTGAAGTTCCTTCTGTGGGCTTAAGAGTGGTTGGACTCAAAGTTGTCGGTTTCTCCGAAGTTCCCTCTGTGGGCTTAAGAGTTGTTGGATTCAGAGTTGTCGGTTTTTCCGAAGTTCCATCTGTGGGCTTAAGAGTTGTTGGGTTTATAGTTGTCGTTTTCTCCGAAGTTCCCTCTGTGGGCTTAAGAGTTGTTGGATTCAAAGTTGTCGGTTTTTCCGAAGTTACATCTGTGGGCTTAAGAGTTGTTGGGTTCACAGTTGTCGGTTTCTCCGAAGTTCCCTCTGTGGGCTTAAGAGTTGTTGGATTCAGAGTAGTCGGTTTCTCCGAAGTTCCCTCAGTGGGCTTAAGAGTTGTTGGGTTTACAGTAGTCGTTTTCTCCGAAGTTCCCTCTGTGGGCTTAAGAGTTGTTGGATTCAGAGTTGTCGGTTTTTCCGAAGTTCCATCTGTGGGTTTGCGAGTTGTTGGGTTCACAGTTGTCGGTCTCTCCGAAGTTCCCTCTGTGGGCTTAAGAGTTGTTGGATTCAGAGTTGTCGGTTTTGCCGAAGTTCCATCTGTGGGCTTAAGAGTTGTTGGGCTCACAGTTGTCGGTTTCTCCGAAGTTCCATCTGTGGGCTTAAGAGTTGTTGGGTTCAGAGTTGACGGTTTCACAGAAGTTCCATCTGTGGGCTTAAGAGTTGTTGGGTTCAGAGTTGACGGTTTCACAGAAGTTCCCTCTGTGGGCTTAAGAGTTGTTGGGTTCACAGATGTTGGTTTCTCTGAAGTTCCTTCTGTGGGCTTAAGAGTGGTTGGACTCAAAGTTGTCGGTTTCTCCGAAGTTCCCTCTGTGGGCTTAAGAGTTGTTGGATTCAGAGTTGTCGGTTTCTCCGAAGTTCCCTCTGTGGGCTTAAGAGTTGATGGGTTCAGAGTTGACGGTTTCACAGAAGTTCCCTCTGTGGGGTTAAGAGTTGTTGGACTCAGAGTTGACGGTTTCACAGAAGTTCCCTCTGTGGGCTTTAGAGTTGTTGGTTTCAGAGTTGACGGTTTCTCCGAAGTTCCCTCTGTGGGCTTTAGAGTTGTTGGATTCAGTGTTGTCGGTTTCTCCGAAGTTCCCTCTGTGGGCTTGAGAGTTGTTGGATTCAGAGTTGTCGGTGTTTCCGAAGTTCCATCTGTGGGCTTAATAGTTGTTGGGTTCACAGTTGTCGGCTTCTCCGAAGTTCCCTCTGTGGGCTTAAGAGTTGTTGGGTTCAGAGTTGTCGGTTTCACAGAAGATCCTTCTGTGGGCTTAAGAGTTGTTGGATTCAGAGTTGTCGGTTTTTCCGAAGTTCCATCTGTGGGCTTAAGAGTTGTTGGGTTCACAGTTGTCGGTTTCTCCGAAGTTCCATCTGTGGGCTTAAGAGTTGTTGGGTTCAGAGTTGACGGTTTCACCGAAGTTCCCTCAGTGGGCTTAAGTGTTGTTGGGTTAAGAGTTGTTGGTTTCACAGAAGTTCCCTCTGTGGACTTAAGAGTTGTTGGGTTCACAGTTGTTGGTTTCTCTGAAGTTCCTTCTGTGGGCTTAAGAGTGGTTGGACTCAAAGTTGTCGGTTTCTCCGAAGTTCCCTCTGTGGGCTTAAGAGTTGTTGGATTCAGAGTTGTCGGTTTCTCCGAAGTTCCCTCTGTGGGCTTAAGAGTTGATGGGTTCAGAGTTGACGGTTTCACAGAAGTTCCCTCTGTGGGGTTAAGAGTTGTTGGACTCAGAGTTGACGGTTTCACAGAAGTTCCCTCTGTGGGCTTTAGAGTTGTTGGTTTCAGAGTTGACGGTTTCTCCGAAGTTCCCTCTGTGGGCTTTAGAGTTGTTGGATTCAGTGTTGTCGGTTTCTCCGAAGTTCCCTCTGTGGGCTTGAGAGTTGTTGGATTCAGAGTTGTCGGTGTTTCCGAAGTTCCATCTGTGGGCTTAAGAGTTGTTGGGTTCACAGTTGTTGGTTTCTCCGAAGTTCCCTCTGTGGGCTTAAGAGTTGATGGGTTCAGAGTTGACGGTTTCACAGAAGTTCCCTCTGTGGGGTTAAGAGTTGTTGGACTCAGAGTTGACGGTTTCACAGAAGTTCCCTCTGTGGGCTTTAGAGTTGTTGGTTTCAGAGTTGACGGTTTCTCCGAAGTTCCCTCTGTGGGCTTTAGAGTTGTTGGATTCAGAGTTGTCGGTTTTTCCGAAGTTCCATCTGTGGGCTTGCGAGTTGTTGGGTTCACAGTTGTCGGTCTCTCCGAAGTTCCCTCTGTGGGCTTTAGAGTTGTTGGATTCAGAGTTGTCGGTTTTTCCGAAGTTCCATCTGTGGGTTTGCGAGTTGTTGGGTTCACAGTTGTCGGTCTCTCCGAAGTTCCCTCTGTGGGCTTAAGAGTTGTTGGATTCAGAGTTGTCGGTTTTGCCGAAGTTCCATCTGTGGGCTTAAGTGTTGTTGGGCTCACAGTTGTCGGTTTCTCCGAAGTTCCATCTGTGGGCTTAAGAGTTGTTGGGTTCAGAGTTGACGGTTTCACAGAAGTTCCATCTGTGGGCTTAAGAGTTGTTGGGTTCAGAGTTGACGGTTTCACAGAAGTTCCCTCTGTGGGCTTAAGAGTTGTTGGGTTCACAGTTGTTGGTTTCTCTGAAGTTCCTTCTGTGGGCTTAAGAGTGGTTGAGCTCAAAGTTGTCGGTTTCTCCGAAGTTCCCTCTGTGGGCTTAAGAGTTGTTGGATTCAGAGTTGTCGGTTTCTCCGAAGTTCCCTCTGTGGGCTTAAGAGTTGATGGGTTCAGAGTTGACGGTTTCACAGAAGTTCCCTCTGTGGGCTTAAGAGTTGTTGGGTTCAGAGTTGTCGGTTTCACAGAAGTTCCCTCTGTGGGCTTAAGAGTTGTTGGATTCAGAGTTGTCGGTTTTTCCGAAGTTCCATCTGTGGGCTTAAGAGTTGTTGGGTTCACAGTTGTCGGTTTCACAGAAGTTCCCTCTGTGGGCTTAAGAGTTGTTGGATTCAGAGTTGTCGGTTTTTCCGAAGTTCCATCTGTGGGCTTAAGAGTTGTTGGGTTCAGAGTTGACGGTTTCACAGAAGTTCCCTCTGTGGGCTTAAGAGTTGTTGGATTCAGAGTTGTCGGTTTCTTCGAAGTTCCCTCGGTGGGCTTAAGAGTTGTTGGGTTCACAGTTGTCGGTTTCTCCGAAGTTCCCTCTGTGGGCTTAAGAGTTGTTGGATTCAGAGTAGTCGGTTTCTCCGAAGTTCCCTCAGTGGGCTTAAGAGTTGTTGGGTTTACAGTAGTCGTTTTCTCCGAAGTTCCCTCTTTGGGCTTAAGAGTTGTTGGATTCAGAGTTGACGGTTTCACAGAAGTTCCCTCTGTGGGGTTAAGAGTTGTTGGACTCAGAGTTGACGGTTTCACAGAAGTTCCCTCTGTGGGCTTTAGAGTTGTTGGTTTCAGAGTTGACGGTTTCTCCGAAGTTCCCTCTGTGGGCTTTAGAGTTGTTGGATTCAGTGTTGTCGGTTTCTCCGAAGTTCCCTCTGTGGGCTTGAGAGTTGTTGGATTCAGAGTTGTCGGTGTTTCCGAAGTTCCATCTGTGGGCTTAAGAGTTGTTGGGTTCACAGTTGTTGGTTTCTCCGAAGTTCCCTCTGTGGGCTTAAGAGTTGATGGGTTCAGAGTTGACGGTTTCACAGAAGTTCCCTCTGTGGGGTTAAGAGTTGTTGGACTCAGAGTTGACGGTTTCACAGAAGTTCCCTCTGTGGGCTTTAGAGTTGTTGGTTTCAGAGTTGACGGTTTCTCCGAAGTTCCCTCTGTGGGCTTTAGAGTTGTTGGATTCAGAGTTGTCGGTTTTTCCGAAGTTCCATCTGTGGGTTTGCGAGTTGTTGGGTTCACAGTTGTCGGTCTCTCCGAAGTTCCCTCTGTGGGCTTTAGAGTTGTTGGATTCAGAGTTGTCGGTTTTTCCGAAGTTCCATCTGTGGGTTTGCGAGTTGTTGGGTTCACAGTTGTCGGTCTCTCCGAAGTTCCCTCTGTGGGCTTAAGAGTTGTTGGATTCAGAGTTGTCGGTTTTGCCGAAGTTCCATCTGTGGGCTTAAGAGTTGTTGGGCTCACAGTTGTCGGTTTCTCCGAAGTTCCATCTGTGGGCTTAAGAGTTGTTGGGTTCAGAGTTGACGGTTTCACAGAAGTTCCATCTGTGGGCTTAAGAGTTGTTGGGTTCAGAGTTGACGGTTTCACAGAAGTTCCCTCTGTGGGCTTAAGAGTTGTTGGGTTCACAGTTGTTGGTTTCTCTGAAGTTCCTTCTGTGGGCTTAAGAGTGGTTGAGCTCAAAGTTGTCGGTTTCTCCGAAGTTCCCTCTGTGGGCTTAAGAGTTGTTGGATTCAGAGTTGTCGGTTTCTCCGAAGTTCCCTCTGTGGGCTTAAGAGTTGATGGGTTCAGAGTTGACGGTTTCACAGAAGTTCCCTCTGTGGGCTTAAGAGTTGTTGGGTTCAGAGTTGTCGGTTTCACAGAAGTTCCCTCTGTGGGCTTAAGAGTTGTTGGATTCAGAGTTGTCGGTTTTTCCGAAGTTCCATCTGTGGGCTTAAGAGTTGTTGGGTTCACAGTTGTCGGTTTCACAGAAGTTCCCTCTGTGGGCTTAAGAGTTGTTGGATTCAGAGTTGTCGGTTTTTCCGAAGTTCCATCTGTGGGCTTAAGAGTTGTTGGGTTCAGAGTTGACGGTTTCACAGAAGTTCCCTCTGTGGGCTTAAGAGTTGTTGGATTCAGAGTTGTCGGTTTCTTCGAAGTTCCCTCGGTGGGCTTAAGAGTTGTTGGGTTCACAGTTGTCGGTTTCTCCGAAGTTCCCTCTGTGGGCTTAAGAGTTGTTGGATTCAGAGTAGTCGGTTTCTCCGAAGTTCCCTCAGTGGGCTTAAGAGTTGTTGGGTTTACAGTAGTCGTTTTCTCCGAAGTTCCCTCTGTGGGCTTAAGAGTTGTTGGATTCAGAGTTGTCGGTTTTGCCGAAGTTCCATCTGTGGGCTTAAGAGTTGTTGGGTTCACAGTTGTCGGTTTCTCCGAAGTTCCATCTGTGGGCTTAAGAGTTGTTGGGTTCAGAGTTGACGGTTTCACAGACGTTCCCTCTGTGGGCTTAAGAGTTGTTGGGATCAGAGTTGTCGGTTTCACAGAAGTTCCCTCTGTGGGCTTAAGAGTTGTTGGATTCAGAGTTGTCGGTTTCTCAGAAGTTCCCTCTGTGGGCTTAAGAGTTGATGGGTTCAGAGTTGACGGTTTCACAGAAGTTCCCTCTGTGGGCTTAAGAGTTGTTGGGCTCAGAGTTGACGGTTTCACCGAAGTTCCCTCTGTGGGCTTAAGAGTTGTTGGGTTAAGAGTTGTTGGTTTCACAGAAGTTCCCTCTGTGGGCTTAAGAGTTGTTGGATTCAGAGTTGTCGGTTTTTCCGAAGTTCCATCTGTGGGCTTAAGAGTTGTTGGGTTCACAGTTGTCGGTTTCTCCGAAGTTCCCTCTGTGGGCTTAAGAGTTGTTGGATTCAGAGTTGTCGGTTTCACAGAAGGTCCCTCTGTGGGCTTAAGAGTTGTTGGGTTCAGAGTTGACGGTTTCACAGAAGTTCCCTCTGTGGGCTTTAGAGTTGTTGGATTCAGAGTTGTCGGTTTTTCCGAAGTTCCATCTGTGGGCTTAAGAGTTGTTGGGTTTATAGTTGTCGTTTTCTCCGAAGTTCCCTCTGTGGGCTTAAGAGTTGTTGGATTCAAAGTTGTCGGTTTTTCCGAAGTTACATCTGTGGGCTTAAGAGTTGTTGGGTTCACAGTTGTCGGTTTCTCCGAAGTTCCCTCTGTGGGCTTAAGAGTTGTTGGATTCAGAGTAGTCGGTTTCTCCGAAGTTCCCTCAGTGGGCTTAAGAGTTGTTGGGTTTACAGTAGTCGTTTTCTCCGAAGTTCCCTCTGTGGGCTTAAGAGTTGTTGGATTCAGAGTTGTCGGTTTTTCCGAAGTTCCATCTGTGGGTTTGCGAGTTGTTGGGTTCACAGTTGTCGGTCTCTCCGAAGTTCCCTCTGTGGGCTTAAGAGTTGTCGGTTTCTCCGAAGTTCCATCTGTGGGCTTAAGAGTTGTTGGGTTCAGAGTTGACGGTTTCACAGAAGTTCCCTCTGTGGGCTTAAGAGTTGTTGGGTTCACAGTTGTTGGTTTCTCCGAAGTTCCTTCTGTGGGCTTAAGAGTGGTTGGACTCAAAGTTGTCGGTTTCTCCGAAGTTCCCTCTGTGGGCTTAAGTGTTGTTGGATTCAGAGTTGTCGGTTTTTCCGAAGTTCCATCTGTGGGCTTAAGAGTTGTTGGGTTCAGAGTTGACGGTTTCACAGAAGTTCCATCTGTGGGCTTAAGAGTTGTTGGGTTCAGAGTTGACGGTTTCACAGAAGTTCCCTCTGTGGGCTTAAGAGTTGTTGGGTTCGCAGTTGTTGGTTTCTCTGAAGTTCCTTCTGTGGGCTTAAGAGTGGTTGGACTCAAAGTTGTCGGTTTTTCCGAAGTTCCCTCTGTGGGCTTAAGAGTTGTCGGTTTCTCCGAAGTTCCCTCTGTGGGCTTAAGAGTTGTTGGGTTCAGAGTTGACGGTTTCACAGAAGTTCCCTCTGTGGGCTTAAGAGTAGTTGGGTTCAGAGTTGTCGGTTTCATAGAAGTTCCTTCTGTGGGCTTAAGAGTTGTTGGATTCAGAGTTGTCGGTTTCTCCGAAGTTCCATCTGTGGGCTTGAGAGTTGTTGGGTTCAGAGTTGACGGTTTCACAGAAGTTCCATCGGTGGGCTTAAGAGTTGTTGGGTTCAGAGTTGACGGTTTCACAGAAGTTCCATCTGTGGGCTTAAGAGTTGTTGGATTCAGAGTTATCGGTTTCTCCGAAGTTCCCTCTGTGGGCTTAAGAGTTGTTGGATTCAGAGTTGTCGGTTTCCCCGAAGTTCCCTCTGTGGGCTTAAGAGTTGTTGGGTTCAGAGTTGACGGTTTCACAGAAGTTCCATCTGTGGGCTTAAGAGTTGTTGGCTTCACAGTTGTCGGTTTCTCCGATGTTCCCTCTGTGGGCTTAAGAGTTGTTGGGTTCAGAGTTGACGGTTTCAAAGAAGTTCCATCTGTGGGCTTAAGAGTTGTTGGCTTCACAGTTGTCGGTTTCTCCGATGTTCCCTCTGTGGGCTTAAGAGTTGTTGGGTTCAGAGTTGTCGGTTTCTCCGAAGTTCCATCTGTGGGCTTAAGAGTTGTTGGGTTCAGAGTTGACGGTTTCTCCGAAGTTTCCTCTGTGGGCTTAAGAGTTGTTGGATTCAGAGTTGTTGGTTTCTCTGAAGTTCCATCTGTGGGCTTAACAGTTGTTGGCTTCACAGTTGTCGGTTTCTCCGAAGTTCCCTCTGTGGGCTTAAGAGTTGTTGGCTTCACAGTTGACGGTTTCTCCGAAGTTCCCTCTGTGGGCTTAAGAGTTGTTGGGTTCAGAGTTGACGGTTTCACAGAAGTTCCATCTGTGGGCTTAAGAGTTGTTGGCTTCACAGTTGTCGGTTTCTCCGAAGATCCCTCTGTGGGCTTAAGAGTTGTTGGCTTGACAGTTGTCGGTTTCTCCGAAGTTCCCTCTGTGGGCTTAAGAGTTGTTGGATTCAGAGTTGTCGGTTTCTCCGAAGTTCCCTCTGTGGGCTTAAGAGTTGTTGGAGTCGGAGTTGTCGGTTTCTCCGAAGTTCCCTCTGTGGGCCTAAGAGTTGTTGGGCTCGGAGTTGTCGGTTTCTCCGAAGTTCCCTCTGTGGGCTTAAGAGTTGTTGGACTCAGAGTTGTAGGTTTCTCCGAAGTTCCCTCTGTGGGCTTAAGAGTGGTTGGTTTCGGAGTTGTCGGTTTCTCCGAAGTTCCCTCTGTGGTCTTAAGAGTTGTTGGACTCAGAGTTGTCGGTTTCTCCGAAGTTCCCTCTGTGGGCTTAAGAGTTGTTGGTCTCAGAGTTGTCGGTGTCACAGAAGTTCCCTCTGTGGGCTTAAGAGTTGTTGGGTTAAGAGTTGTCGGTTTCTCCGAAGTTCCCGCTGTAGGGTTAAGAGTCGTTGGTTTTAGAGTTGTCGGCTCGGTTGGCTTTACAGTTGTAGGTTCCTCCGAAGTTCCCTCTGTGGGCTTAAGAGTCGTTGGCTTCGGAGTTGTTGGCTGAGTTGGCCTGAAAGTTGTTCTAATAGTCGTTTCCAATGTTGGCCTTGCAGTGGTGGCCCTACTTGTTTTCGTGGTCTCGTGTCCGCAGTCGTGCGGAGTAGTGGCTGGCGTGGTAGGGTGATATGGACATGGTGATGATGGCGGTCTCAAGGTCGTGGTGCTGGTCTTGTTGTTACAGGGGTTGCGGAAGCGAAGCACAATCTCGTTGGGCTTTTGGCCCGGCACGATGCTGATGTGCGGGCCGAACATCGTGAATGCGGCCGTGTTGGCCGCCAGCAGGCAGATTATGAACAGTTGCATCTTGTCAACCTGTTACTGCCTTCTCCTTGGGTTGTGTCCTGTGTGGGCTGGTTGGTGAGTGCTGTAGACAACCGAGCGACACCCTCGGTACTGAGCTTGCCAGCCCTCTCAAGGGCATATTTAAGCAGTGCTCGCGGGGGCGGAGTCCGTTCCGTAGTCTGTGAAAGAATTTGAATTCCGGACAGCGACCGAAAGCTCGATCGGTCCGGAACGGGAACGGATGCCCTAGCCCACCTGGGGCACGCACCTGCACCGTAGGGCTGCCCGTGGGCTTGCATAAGCCGCAGATTATCGGAACTGAGCGACGCAGTTCGGAGCCGGAACGTGCGCCCATTCCCCCAGTGCCAAACCATTCATTCATTAACCAGCCAGAGAATTTTTTTAAAACGTTCTGCAATTTCAACGATTTTTATTACGCTTCGCTTCGGAAGGGGGAGGTCGCATTGAATGGGGCTTTTTGGCTATGCTCGTAGTAATAACTTTAATATTAATTTGTGCTGAGTTATTTGGCTAATCTCAAAATATCTTAATAGGCATCTCTTTCTTTTTGGTGTATGCTCATGTTTTCGTGTCTCTCTGTCTTGTGTCTTTTGTATTTTTATTTATACATCTACTATTTGGTATAAAGTTGGCTAGTTCAAAGTTTGGTAAGGGGTTCTTGGTTTCCAGTTTTGGGCATTACTATATATTCGTTAGCTACTTAATTGTTTTTGGCAACATACGAAATTTTAATGCTCCATTTGGTGAGGCAGCGCGCTTATAAATTTGCACTATTCGTAAGACATATGCAATCCATATGCTATATACTCATATACATATATATAATATATATTTCTTTTATATATATTTAAGCTATAACAAAGTTACCGACTGACTGACTGATCATATTTACCATCTAGCACGCAAACAACAACAAAAACGTAAAACTAATGTTGCTAGTTTTGCCTAGTTCCTCGTTTTTTTTTTTTTTTGTTTTTTTCATATTTTTACCAGTGCTAAACTATAGCTATACTCGTTAGAATTGTTAACCGTTAATTGTGAGGCCAATTACATTTACACTTATTAGGCATATACAAAAAAGTTCTAGGCCACTAGTTGTTGATATTGATGTTTAATAGGCTCCTCTGCGATATTTCCGGCTGCTCCACTTGGGCCTGCATCCGCTGGATCCCATAGAATCGCTGGCTCCCTTGAGCGATCTGGCCCATTGCTAGATCTCATCATCGCTGGTCTGCGGACAGAGCACCTGCTCCTGCCACCAGTCGTGTACCTCGTAGACGGCATTGGCCTGGTTGTTGAACGGCAGCAGCTTGCCACTGCCCCCGATCATCTGGCTCATCATGGCCGATGGACTGCCCAGAACGCCGCCATGGTGATGGCCCTGCTGGTGCTCACCGTGGCCACCATGCAAATGACCCATGTGCCCGTGGCCGCCGTGTCCTCCGTGTCCGCCATGGCCACCATGCCCCCCGCCATAGCCTCCATGCAGGGCGGCAGCGGCGGCGGCGGCGTTTATTGTCGGATAGTGGAACTGGCCAATCTCGCTGTTCACCTGGGCAAAGAAGCTGGCCGACTTGGAGGCCTCGCCGCCCCTTTGCTTGGCCAACTGACCCAGCTGACCCGCATGTGGCAGTGTGGTCATCGAGTTCTTCTTGCGCTGCTGACTGCTGATGTGCAGCCGCTCCTTGTCGCTCAGCGTCGACCGCTGCTGCGGATCGCTGGAGGTGGGTGCCAGAAACTTGCGTCCCGCCGAGCTGCCCGTCGAGTCGGATCGGTTGAGGGCATAGCCCCGTTTGCCCACCGCCATCACATGCCGGGCGGTGGCCACAGCCGGCCCAGTTCCCACGCCACTTCCGGCGATTGCCACCGCCGGACCGGCGACGATCGCTGGCTCCGAGTGGGGCGGCGCCACGGCACTGCTGCTGCCGTCCTTCTCTTCGTTCTCCGTCGAGCTGAAGGTTGGCGAGAAGGCGTCGCTGGTGGGCGGACAGGCGCCCGCCACCGCCCCGCTGATCGTGCTGATCGCCGACTTGTCAGCCGCGCCCAATGGCGCCTTGTCCTCCTGCACATTCGGCCGCATCACCGGCTGCTCGTTGGTGGCTCGCAGGCCGGCGATCAACGAGTTTTGCTGCTTCTGCAATTGAAATTTTAAGTTAGGATAATTCTATTTTAACATTTAAAACAAATATAGTAGAACAAATCTAATTTTGTCCAAACGTTTTTTTAATTGCACTGTTTTGAAAATTTTAAAATGTATACATGTATGTTTGAGATGCACCATAATATCCTAAAAACTATTTAATCATTTTTGATATAAAAAAAAGTAATAACATTTTTTTTTGCAAGCCACTGTTAAAAAAAAATTGAAAAAATCATTTGAGGGTCCTATTAAAAAGTTTATATAAAACGTTTAGATATGTAAAATTGTTGTTTATTCATTTTTTAACTATTAAATGACTTAGCTACAAAGGCTTAAAATTATGTATTCATATTCAAATTCAAAATTATGTCAAAAAGAAAATACATTTTACACTAATTTTTAGCATGGCTCCCCTTTATAAAGAAATATTTAGCTAAAAATGTTAATTTCATAAAATATGTCTGTGAGGCTTTTATCAAGGTTTTTTTTCCAAAATTTAGGGCCAATGTTTGGAATGCATTATATATATTAATATTTCATTTATAAAACTGTTAAAAATTTTTAAATGCCTCTGCAATAGGTTAAAAACAAAATAGTAATTTTTAGAAAGCTTTATAATATGTATTTTTGAGTTTAAGAAACTATTTAATGAGTTTAGCTGTATTTAATTAATCTAAAAAGGTACTGCGTTTTTAAGCTTATACAGCCATCATATAACATTGAAATATTTAGTGGAAAACAAGTGCAGAAATCTAAATAAATTGTATACTTATTTTCTTATACTTGATAACACAGTTTTGTCAACTTACGCTAGCATTTTGGGCCCGGATCTTTTTTAGGCACCCCTCCAGCCAGGTGCGAATGGTCATCTTGGCCACCTCCTCCTCGACCAGGTACTCGAACTCCTCGCGAGCCAAGAGCTCCTCCAGCTGCAGTGCCTTGCGAATGTCCACAGAGCGATAGCTCAGCATGCTGGATGGGATGGAAAAGAAGGGAAACTCTGGTGAAATCGATCGGTTCACAGTCAATGATCACAATCACCCACTTGATGACATCGTGGAAGGTCACGTCCTCGCCGTTGTGCAGCTTGTCCAGCTCATAGCACATGTACTTGAACAGCAGCCGATCCTTCTGGGGATCGCACTCGAGGCGTCCTTTCAGCAGGCGCAGAATAAACTTCACCCGGCGCACGGGGATCACTCCACGCTGATGGATGTCCACAATGTTCCAGGTGTTCTGGAAGTTACGTATGTCCGCATACGAAAGCAATGCATCCTCTTCGTTGGAGTAGAAGAGGGAAAAGTTCTCCATGATAATAGCTGCAGAATGAAAAAAAATCAAATTTAACTTGCATTCATTTAGGATTTAGGAATATTTTCGAGCTTAGGGATTGGTTTAGCAGCCAATATTTTAATTCTGCTGAAATTTGTCTGTAAGAGATTTGTTTGAAACCGCTAATTAGGGTTAAGTTTCTAATTCTAATAATTATATTTTTTTTGACTTGGTCGCTTGAAATGGAAAGCTTTTACTTCAAGACTCTTCAAGTTTATCAAAACAACAAATTTTGTTGGTTAAAAACTTTGTTTTATATTTTTAATTAAATTTGAAATTAAATAAACAAATGTGTGCAATCTTTCTATTGCCAAAACTGTGATCCAAGCAAATGTATAAAACTTAACATTAACATGGCTCAGTAAAAAAAGTGCAACAGCTGTTATAAAATAATAATAAAAGTTGCAATGCTTAAACTTGCATAATTTTGCTTTTATTTTTAGTTTTGAAGACTCAAAAAATAGTATTGAAAATTTTATTTCTAGCAATATATATTGGTTTTAATAGGGATTGAGTTATAATTTCAAATTTCAATAATTGAGCTACTGAATAATAGTTTTAAAAATAAAGAATTGGTAAAATTAATCCGAATTAAGCTACAACATTTTGGTTTCAAAAGTATGGCTTTAACTTTGTGTAACCCGAGTAACCCTTTTAAATATATTAGCTTCAAAAGGAAATGGGTAAAGCTTGTAAGTTTAAAAATATTTAAGCTTAAATTATTAGGTAATAGAAATTCAGCTATTTTTATTTCAAAATTTTGTTTACAAATTATAGTTTTGGTCATAAATGCAAGACGATTAACCCACTCAAAATTTTATAGCATAACAAGAAAACCAGTAATATTTCCAAATTTAATTAGTTAGTGAGGAACAAGAAATATTTTAAAATTTCAATATACTTAAGCAAAAAATAATTTAACTTTAATTTCGGAAATACAACTTTAAGCTATGCATTAATATTTACCAGCCTAATAAGTTGCTGAAAATATATCATATTTTAAAAAGGAAATAAGTAATAGGTTGGAAATTGCTAAAAATTGCAAGCAAAATACTTAAAATAAAATTTTTAAAAAGCATTTTTAGCTACGGAATATTTCTTTGGTAATAAAATAAAAATTGCTAAAAACGGAATCCGGACATAAGTTAAGGCGTTGGTAATATGTGCCAACCGAGTAACCTGCGCATTCCGGATGTGACCAGGGAGACCTACCCACAAGCAAGTTGAGCACAATGTATGTGATAATGACGTAGAAGGTGCAGAAGTAGATGAGGCTGGCGGTGAAGTTGCCGCAGTCCGTCTCCCAGTAGTTGTTGCCCAAGGTGCAGTACGGCGGCCGGACCATGCAGTCGTGCATGATCTTGTTCCAGTCCTCGCCGGTGACGATCCGGAAGAGCATGGCCACACCGGTGACGGGTGACCCAAAGTTGGCCCGCCGGCCGATGCCCTCGCCGTACTTGACGGTGCCTGGAACGAGAATCATCCAAGTGGAGTCAGTTGGGACGGGTGGTTGTCCGGGGGGCAGGAG